ACACCTAGTGTGTACTGGGATAGACATCGAGTGTGCCCTGGGATAGACATCGAGTGTGCACTGGGATAGACATCGGGTGTGCACTGGGATAGACATTGAGTGTGCACTGGGATACACATCAAGTGTGCGACGGGATACACATCTAGTGTGTATAACCCAAGCTCCTATTCACAGTCTGTTAGAGACCTCAGAGCTTTCCAAAGTCGTTCTCCAGAACAGAAGAACCCCAAGTCAGTCCTGATGGAGCCATCTGAGCACATGGATCCACTTATGCATCGTGCCACTGTCTGTGTCCTCGCTTCAAGCCTGGGTGGAACGGGATGGTTCTGATTTGGGCTATTCTGAAGACAGCCTTGAAGGAGATGCAAGGATAGGGTATGTTTCAAAGGATGAAAACAACAAACGTCTCCACTTAATAATGGAATTACTGACTTACAGCATTCTCTATACGAGGGATCCAGGGGCCCTTAGTTCTTGTCTAGGTCACCTTTGGATCTAACCAACCAGGAAGGAAGCAACAGCAAAGTACAAAATTAATGGATCACACAACCTAAAAAATGCAGATGATCATAAGAAGCAAATTTACAGTGCCAGTTGGGCATCCCCACAGAAGAGATGCTACATCACTGTTTAATCTTGTCTCAGCTGGAACAGCCGTTCTAAGATGTGAAACCATCTTGGAGGAAGTTGAGATGATGGAGGAGGGTTACCATAACACTGTTCCAGGTCAGGGTGTTTAGCATCCTAGAAAGTCTGTTGCCTCCACTGCCCTTTGAATCAGTGTACAAATGCCAGTATGGACCACTGAACGCCTGATTCCAAGAGACGGAATGGAGGTTGTGTCTGTTTTTATGTGGTATAATTACTCAACTATCTAAAGTTTGAGATGGAGCAAGATAGATGGTTCAGTGGTAGTAAATAGCTCCAACCAGCAGTCAGAGTATTGGGCAGGAAATCCCGGAAGAGGCACCGAGGGTCACAAAAGAGACCTCCCCCTATGCATGACTTAATGATGTGTTTGAGCTATAGGTCTACAGAGTGTTTGTTATTCGGCTACTTTCCACTAAGAACTAGGGGTGAATTTATAAGCATGATGTGGAAAGTACCTTTTCATTTTGTGTTAGGACACAAAATAGAGGGAGGGACACGAAGTCTTAGATCTGCAAGCAGGTCTCTGGCTCCACCAGTCCTGTCGGCCCTCAGTGTGAAGTCCCCATTCCATGAAAACTGCTATGCTCTGCTCACCAGCAGAAGGCATCCCAGTTGTTCAACCAAACCTTGGGAATACTTTCTAAATCAGAGGCTTGTGTAAACCTTTGGCAGGAAAAATAATCCCATCCATTTTTTTTTTCTTTTTAAAACAACATCAACATCAAGACCAAAATGGTATTTTCAGTGACAAAGCACTTGCTTCCTGACCAGGGCAAGGGTGAGCCCAGACTTAGGCCTGTCTTCCTCTGCTGCCGGCTCCATCCCTGCTAGGGATGCCTCCAGCCAGACTATGGGTACTCAGCCCAAAGGTCCCAATTCTATTCTTGGTTCCTCTGAAGACAAAGTAGGCCATCAGGAAAATAGGGTTAGGCCAGGAGAAGAGGTGAACCTTAGAAGTGAATGCCCATAGAACCTAATGCATGATCTGCAGGGAGCTGACTCTGTGTATACTCACCATGGGGGAGGGCTGAGGCCTAAAGGGGGCCAGAGCAGGGTCTAACTAAGGATAGAACCGTGTGGTTCCTGTGGGGTCATTTCTATCTGGCTAAGTCTCTTTTCAGACCTTGTATTAAACTTCCCATTAGAGGTGGCGCCAGCTTCTCTGGTATAATAGGGAAGCGTGCAGAACAGCATCCATCTGAGAAGATCTGTTCCGACCCCCAGTAATGGCCACATCTAAATTGTACTTGAAGGTGCTAATTAACTCCAATGAGGAGAGAAGAGATGTGGGCAAGTGTCAAGCCATCAGGAAACCCAAATGTCCAAGGGGTCATCCTCTACTGACTGACTCTTCTTACTCCTGGGCTGGCAAGCACTCCCCCAGCCTGGGAGAGTTGTCCTTGGACTTCAAGTGTAGTAGAGTGAACTGACTGAGCTGTCTCGTGTCAAGATTCATACGGGAGAAGGGGTCTATCAGATTCTGCCTCAAATTTCCATCACCCAGTTACCTCAACCCTCAAACCTCCCCAAGCCCGCAAGAGCTCAATCAACAGAAACACTTCTAGTACGCACCCAGCACAACCCACTCTATGTTTACCCTTAGACGCCCTAAATACCAGTAAAGCGTAAAACATAGCCAAGAGACAGGGCATCAACCAGTGTGGGCTGTGGGCTGTCTAAGAGTCAACTCTGTCCCCTAGAGCCAGTGGTTCCTGATATCTGGTTACCTGGTTCTTCTGGAGCTGGTGGAGTGCTGACCTCAGGCTCTGGGGTGACTTTAGGGGGTGGTGGAGGTGGGGCTGGCGGTGCTTTGACAGGGGTCGTTGATTCAGGGGTCTCAAAGGCTTCCTCCGAGTCGGAACTCCTGGCAGAGAGAGATACGAAACATAGGTAAGACCACCAAGTAGACATGCTGAGGGAAAGGCATGGCCTTCTTACTCTCTGACAAGTAGATTTGGGGCTGACACTCAATTCAACTGTTGAGACAGGTGTGAAGGTCACCTCTAAGCATTTTTCCCAGGAACTCTGTCACAGGCACTAAGATCTAATGGTAGGCTCTTTGAATGCAGCTTGAAAGACACATGTCCGCCTGGTGACAAATCACACCCAGTGGGCTCTGTGGATACTTTTTGGTGTGCATTACCTGGCACCGAGTCAGCCTAAGACTGAGTCAGGCTAAGAGACGAATAGTTTTTAAGGTCACCATGATGGCGGCAGTCTACCTCCAGAATCTTCATCTTGTAAATTGTTTGTATTCACTCTCTCCACCCCAGTCTGCCGTTCTTTCTACCCTCTGCCTTCCCTGTGCTTCCAGATATTTACTGGTCTCTTCTCCTGGGCTGAATGAAATCACCATGCAGATGGCTGGCTTTGTTTTGCACAGTACCCAGGGCCTAAAACGGAAGGCAATGAATGACCATCTGGAGAGTGAACGAGTGAGAGTCAGGAAACCTGCCAGTGGAGAGCATACCAGACCAAGCCACAAAGCACAGCTAGCAGCTCCTCAGTGGTGTGGCGACAGCCCTTGGTGGTCCCTAGGGAAGGCTCTTTATGCAGAGACCTGGGCCAAAAGCCCACCAAGGAAAGTTTCTCTTGGTAACAAGAAGTCAGTGGACAAGCCTTCTCCCTTCCTTCTGCCCCAAGCTACCTGATCTCAGCCAGAGGAATGGGCAACCCAGTTATAAGTTCTCTTGCTGCCTATAAGACAGGGGCATCAGTTCACTGGCTCAGGATGGCCACAGGATCGAGGCCAACCTGGGAGAATAGACTCTGTGGGGAGCAGCAGTGTGCGGCCCCCATCTCAGAACAGTTCCAATACACTGATCCCCCGGCAAGGAAGGAGGAGGCTAACTACCAGCAGGGTGGCTACACAGGATGGCTAAAGATTTATAAGCAGGTCATGTCACAGGAGACAGGGCATGTCAGCATTCAGCACACTAGATCACATGGGTATCAGTGAACAGGAGCCTCCCCCAACACTGTGAGAGGCTCCCAACTGCTCAGCTCCACAGGGTCATGGAACTAGTGACCTTGGAAGAGGCCACCATCTTCTAAAGACCATTAGCTGGCCAGCACAGTGTCAGCAAGCGACAAACCCCTCTGCAGACCATTAGGACCCAGGAAATGAGCCGTTTGATGAGTTCTCTTTAGAACATCTACATCAAGGCTGGAGATGGGGCTCATAGGAAGTTATTGTCTAACACGTCCAAAAACATGGGCTTAACTCTTAACACAAACCAGGCATAAGGGTCTGAGTCTGTATAATATTAGCACTTGAGGCTGAGGCAGGAGGATCAGAAGTACAAGGTCATCCTCAACTATGTATCATGTTTGGGACTCAAAGAAATCAACAAACACATCAGAACTGTTTTTATGGAATCCAATGAGCTAAAGCCAACTTTGTATCAGATTTCACTAGCAAATACTTAAATCTCACAAACACAACAGGGAGGCCACTGATTTTTCACTCTCACATATCAAGGCTAACAGACCTAGCTTTTGTCTATGGAGAAAATTTAAGCTCCATCCAAACTTGGACAACATCAGATTGGTAGGTGGAGTTTCAAGAGTATGAAAACACAGGGAGGTTACACAAATGAACAGCAGAGAGGAATGAGTGTCCCGATCCAGGCCTGGAATGTCGTCCTGGGAACCAGCGTCCTCACCCTAGCATCCATACCATAAACATCAGGGACAACCATGACAAAACACAGTTAACTTGCCTCTTTCTGAAGCTTTCCTGGGCAGTGAGCAGCCTGGAATCCCCACGGCTGCTCACTGCTGCCCACATCCAATGGGTCCATTCCACTGGGGACCACATCTGCCAGGAGCCAAAAGCCATCTCCATGGAAAAATAGTCCCAGTTCCCGCCTAGAATGTTCCTGCTCGCATCTCTTGAGATCTAAGCATCTTTCATGACATCAACAGAAAAGAAAGCTGCCCCGGTCCCCCAGCAAGGTATGCCCTGAGCATCTTCTGGGTTCAGAGGCTCCAGGCCGCCTACTCAAGCCACGATGCAAAGAGAGAGGGACCAAAAGCTTATCCTGTTGCTTCTGCACCCCTGGTCACTGGTAACTCAAGGCTTTGGAACACAAAGGGCCCTGGTCTTTCTCAGTGGCACAAGTGACAAGGAGGGGCCGGATGCTCTTGCATCCTAGCTGTGAATTCCAATGAGGTTCCTACTGCAGCAGCTGCCAGCCTGCACACCTGCTCAGAAAACCACCATTCACCCGGGGCCTCGGGTGGGCAGGGCATGAGGACACTGTGCTCATTGCTCCTCATCATCCTTTTACTATGAACTGTGTGCATCAAAACACCACGGGCCACCGTGGGCCACTTCTGGTGCTGCTGGCCTTGTTTGCATATTTCCACACTGCCTCCCAGGAGCAGAGAGCAAGTTAATTAGAGAAGGCAGGCAGCAGCCTTTAAAATTCACTCTTTCCTCCCTGCTCAGCTTCCCCAGGGGCTTAAAAAACTCTTGCAAGAGCGAGAATTTCTGCAGTCCGCCCACCACGAGTCTGTGCACAAGAATAAAGCAGCTGGGTAGAGTCCCACTGCTCGAGTCCCACCGTGGTGTGGCTGTTTGCTTTTTTTTTTTTTCACTAGCAAAGTACAAATAATTACACAGCTGAGACTCCACACATTTTCATAATGGAAAAAAAGGAGGAAATTAATTTGTCACAAATATGCATCAGAAACAGAAACGGCGTTGCAGTTTGCTAAAACCCCTCCAAATTTCAAGAAAATATGTTTACCAAGACGTGTAAATGTTGTTTACCATGTAAGTAAATACAAGAGTTATAATATATATATATATATATATATATATATGTACACACACACACTATATGTGTAAATACAAGACATTAAACACAAGGCTATAATCAAGACTAATATATGCATACATATAACACACACACATGCATGCACACACAGATGTGCACACTTCTATATGAAAAGTACAACAGCCAGCATTTGTGGAACATTCAGTTATGCATCAGACACCAGCCTAGGTCTATCGTGTACATACATCTATCTGTCATCTTCAGAACTGCAGGCTGGGGATATAGCTCACTTGGTAGAGTGCTCGTCTAGCGTGCATACGGCCCTGCATCCAATTCCCAATTCCCGCCACTGCACATAGTAGGCAGGTGGTATACAAAAACCAAAACAAAGTAACTACAACAACGGACAACTAGCCTGCCTGATGGAGAGAGGCCTGTTTCACAGACGACCCAAACACGGTCTAGTGAAGCAAGCTGTTTTGCAAGGCTGTGCAGTTAGGAAATGAGAAGAACAAAGCTCAAATCCCAAACTGCCAACCCCTAAAGTGTGCCTTCATTACATCTATGGCTTCCAATGTCTTTAGCAAGCTCAACGTTTATGTTCTTATTAAATAAAATCTATCCTAGAGAACAAGTAGGCCATTTAAATGAACTTGTGAACGTGACACGGGGGATTGGGGCATACCAGCCGCAGCACTATCCCTGCTGATCTTTCTCCTGTTTACACAATGTTAGGGAAAGTCTCATATATCCAAGGGAGGGATCACTAACAGCCCTGCATGTTTAAGGGTCTATCCTGTGATCACTGATTCTCTGCAAGGCAAACAGGGCAGAGCAGCCCTCTAACTGCACAAGGCAATTCCTCCACCAGTACCAGGCAGTATTTGGGAGAACACGCAACATCACAATGAGATTTACAGATGAGAAGATGAAAATGACAGATTGTCCTAGCCACGGAAACCGGGGCCTGCGGGGCTCCCCAGCTGTGTTAGTACAGTCTAAAAACATTTCTCAGCGTAGGGGGTGTAGTTCGGTGGTAGCGCCTTTACTTGCCTGGCACGCTCAATGCTTAGGGTTCAAGTCCTAGCTACAAGGACACACACACACACACACACACACACACACGCATGCACTAAATATGAACCTCTACAGTGCTCTGAGCAGTTGACAAATGCCTGTTCCACACAGGACGAAATCCACGACTCCAGTGACATGCTTCAGGAACGGTCCCCCAAACAAAGAGTCAGGGAGAGGGGAAAATGTGGACTTAAGTTCAAGGGTTTGTTTCCCTGCACTTGTGGCTGAGCTTCAACCTCAAGATTCACTTGTCAAATTACAACAAAACAGTCTAAGATCAGAAGCCACAGATACACGACACAGACACACACATTAATTACAAATGTATCTGTGACACACGAACATATGTGCATATAACCGAAAAACGAGTGTTTTTAAATGAAGAGGTACTATAGTTTTCCAACATGCCATTGATTGCTTACATTTTGCTCGAGTTTTACTGGCGAGAATCCAAGGGGCTTTGTTAGACAGGGGCCTGGTGTCCCAAAGAAACAACCATGCAACGCAGTGTCTCAGCAACACAGAGCATTTTACTTCTGCAGAAGGCTGCACAGTTGCTATAAATGCACCAGCAAGCACACCTGAGCACACCCATGGTCCTACTGGGCTTCTGGTCGAAGTGCAAGGGTCCTGTGCCTCATGCTGGGCCGTCAGAGCCTGGCCTCTCGCTCTTCTCCAGATGGCTACCTCTAAACCTGGCGGGTGAGCCAAGAGTAGCTTCTGCGGACAGGACGCAGCATGGAGGGCATACTTCTATCTTAGAACACTGTTGATTGGGGAAGGGACTTGTGGCGCGAGGTGTCTTTATTAAAGTCTTTTACTGTTTGAGACCAGGCTGGCCTCAGATTTGAAGAGAGGTGGGATTAAAGGCGTGTGCCGCCACACCCAGCCCTACTAATTATTTCATTTAGCCCTTCGATAGAAAAGATGGGACATTTAATTGATATTTCCCATACAGACCATACAATGCTCTAACTCTGAATCTGAATGAAAAATCAGGACA